TAATAAAAGACTTATAAATAAGATGTTACACTCTGCTATAGTTACCGGCTAAAGTGGGAGTTTTTACCTGGTCTTTGAATTCCTACGGGAAATCTTTATCTGAGATCCTTGAACCACTACCTGAAATTATAAAATTTGGTGTACATACACAAATATGCACCTCATCAGATTTTCAAAAGGGTCTGGTGAATTGTTTAAAGTTTTCTTTATGGTTTCACAATGCAGGGTTTAAGAACCTCCTCTATTTCTCTCCTCTTGTACGAAAACTGAAAGCAAGGTTAGACAGTTTAAACGACTATATATTTTGGCTTTAAATGCATAATGCACCAAACAAACTGCTATTAAATTTATTTTTCTAAGTGAGATAAAATAATCAAACTAAGAGTAGTTAGATCCCTTCTTCTATATTCATGTCTTAGGAGGAAACTAGTTTCTGACATCAGCACCTTCTGAAAAGAGGTGGACCAGTGAGAAATTAGCCCTAACCCACCGGAAAGAACTGGGCAGTAGAGGGAAATACATTAAGACTATTCTGCAATTACCTGACACCAGAATGGCATGAGACCCAAACCTAACTCCTCTAACTCTCCCTGCGAAGAGAAACAAATGGGACTTGCATAGATAAGCCAACGTCTGGAATGAACCAACAATACAGTAACCAAGTAAGTCCCAACTATCCCAAAGGAAAAATTATTCTGGGACTCATGAAATGCTTCCACCATCATGCATTATCTGCGTCTTTCCTCTATAGGGTGTCCCCTGTTAAGAATATCTAATACAGCCACATAATAGGAAAAGGGAAAAATAAACAATTTAAATTATTAAAAGTTAACCCACAAAAGCCAATCTATAACATATTTCAAAATCGAAGTTAAAGAGCACAATCCATTTTTAGAATGGCTCAGTTTCTCTCAAACTTTAATGCACATTATGACTCAACCCACTGAGACTGGAGGAATCCCCGTGACTATTGTCCTGAGATGTTCTTTAAACCTTGAACCAAAATTATCCCCTGAAGTCACCTTTTAACTAAACAGCAGGTTAGCTCAAATAGTAAAGAATGTCATCCTTGAGTAATGTGCTTTTTTAAAAAATGGGTAACAGTTAATCTAAAGCATGGATGAGAAGGTTGAGGGGCAGTGAGATTAAGTTAATGGGAATGGAACAACTAGAATGGAAATAATGAGAATGTTCAAACAATGTGAAAAATGTAACCAACGTCACTGAACATTATGTATAGAAATCGTAGAATGGGAACCTGTTTTGCTGTGTATACTTTCACCAAAAAAACTTAAAAAAAAAACAAAAAACTTTATAGACATATGTACCATCTGGAGATCTTACCAAAATGCACATTTGGATTCAACAGGTCTGGGGTTGGGCCTGAGAGTCTGCTTAACAAGTTCTCAGGAGATATTGACATGTCTGATCCAAGGACACAAGTATCAAGGCTCAAGAGAACTGTGGTCTTTAAATATATTTTGGAAGAAAAACCCCCATCAAAAAATTTAAAACATACTCATTATATGTGTATTTATTCACAAATTAGATATGCATACTACTGTAGCAATAGATAATGCACATTAAAAATAATACAGGAAGGAGGCTGGATAAACCCTTCAAACTTACTGCCCTGAGATAATCTTTAAACTTTAAACCAAAAATATCCCCTGAAGTCTTTTTAAAATCAAACAATAGTTTCACATAACTAGTAAAGAATGTCTGCCTTGAGCTTTATGCTCTTTTAAGATCTATCTATATGGGATCAAACTGACCACAGCAAAGCAAAAGATTAGATAGGAAATTTAGAGGGCAGTGAGCTTATGTTAATGGGGGAGAAACAACTAGGAAAAGAAGGGTGAGAATGGTCACACAACTCAAGGAATGTAATCAATGTCACTGAATTGAACATGTAGAAACTGATGAAGTGGTGGTACATTCTGCTGTGTATATTCTCAACAACAAAAACAAATTATATAAATAACAATACAGGAAACTTCCACTTATAACCAAGATGGAGTAACAGGGACAAGGTTTACCTACCCAACTGAAACAGCTATAAAACAGGACAAATATATGAAATAATGGTTTCAGACACTGAACCTAAGTACAGTAATCTCTGAAAAAGAGGAAACAAATGAAGTAATTCCAGATTACTGCCTGGAGAGGTTCCAAGCCAGGCAGGGGGAACCCAGGTGGAGCCTGAAGGTATCCCTAAATTGAGCAAACAGAGGTAGGAGTCCAGAGAGGCATGCAGGCTAGTTTACAGGGTAGAACACCAGAAAAGAGAGAGCTGCACAAAGAGAGATCTCTGAATATCTGCTGAACATTCCCCTGAGTCTCAGGTAAGTACTGATAATGAACAAGTGTTAGGAAACTACCCAAGGCCAGGGAGAAAACATCCAAAAGGAGCAGAGATAAAAATGACTGAATCTCACACAAGGTTGAGAGTAATTTGGGTTTCCAACAATCACAGCGGAAAACGTCAAGATAATCCACAAGATACTGGGCAGAATACTGATATGGGTATTGACTAAATAGTGTGGAAAATTAGTCCTAGACTAAATTCTGTTCCGGTCCTGCCTAAAAAATTATAAAAGTGAACCCTGAAAGGACTAAATTTTTCCAAGTAACTCAACTGTATCCCAGAACAGAGCTCAAGAATATTCATAAGAATGCAAAAACACCTGACACTGAACAAGGTAAAATTCACAATGTCTGGCATTCGATCGCAAATTAACGGGCATGCGAAGGCAGGAAATTCCAAAGTATAATGAGAAAAAAAAAAAAATTAAACAAATCCAAAAATGATACAGATGACAGAATTAGTTAATGAGGACATCAGAAATTATTGTAACTATACTCTGTATGTTCAAGAAGGTTGAGGAAAGAATGAGCAGCTTAAGTTAAGCAGAAACATGAAAGAAATTAAAAGACCCAAATCAAACTTATAGGGATAAAAAATTCATTTAAGATGAAAAATACAGTGGATGGGACTAAAGCAGATTAGACATTGTAGGAAAAAAGATGAGTAAACTTGAAACCATAGTAAGAGACTATTCAAAATGAAACACAGAATAAACACCAAAGAATAAAATAATAATAACAAAAAACAGCACATCAGTAGGCTATGAACAACTTCAAGTTGCCTAATATAATAGGAATCTCCAAAGGACTTGGGGAAGGATGCGGAGTAAAGGCAATACTTAAAGTAAAAACTGGCTGAAATTTTCCCAAATTTGATGATAACTATAATAAAGCCATGAGGAGCCCTAGTGGTGCAGTGGTTAAGAGCTATGGCTGCTAACCAAAAGGTCGGCAGTTCAAATTCACCAGCTACTCCTTGTAAACCCTATGGGGCAGTTATATTCTGTCCTACAGGGTCACTGTGAGTTGGAATCAACTCGATGGCAACAGGTTATAATAAACTTATGGATCTAAGGAGCTCAATGAACTTTAGCATAAGAAACACGAAAAAATCTACGTAAAGTCCCATCATAATCAAATTGCTTAAAATCAGTGATAAAAATTAAAAGTAGCCAAACATCTTAGTATGCAAAAAAGCAGGAAAATACTGATTCACGCCAAATATTTTCCTGCTTCTTTGTATACTGCTTTGATTAGACCAAGAAATAACCTAGATGAAAGAAGTAGTAACAAGGACATTTAACATTTAAATAATTCTTTTAACTGTATTCCATATGTTCAAGAAGCTAGAGGAGACATTAAAAAAAAAAACAACCTGTTGCCATTGAGTCGACTCTGACTCATAGTGACCCTATAGGACAGAGTAGAACGGGCCCATAAGGTTTCTAAGGCTGTAATTCTTTACGGAAGCAGACTGCCACATCTTTCTCCCACAGAGCGGCTGGTGGGTTCAAACCACTGACCTTTTGGTTAGCAGCCAAGCACGTAAACCATTGTACCACCAGGGCACCCTAGTATAAACATAAAAGATATAAAAAAGACTCAAAAGTGAACTGCTAACAACAAAAGTGACAACGTCTGAGATAAAAAATATACTGAATGGGGTTAACGGCAGATTAGACAGTGCAGAAGCAAAGATTAATGAATTTGAAGACATAGCATTACAAACAATCCAAAATGAAACACCAAGAAAAAAATGAACATAGCAGCAGTGAGCCATAAGAGAACTTCAAGTGATCTAATATGAGTGTAACTGGAGTCCTCAAAGGAGAGGAGTCATGAGGAGCACTGGAAAAATATCTGAACAAATTATGGTTAAATTTTCTAAATTTCATGAGAATTTTGAATCCACAAATGAAGCTCAATACGACCAAAGCACAAGAAAACATAAAAAAAACTACATCAAGCTATATCATAACCAAATTGCTTAAAAGTAGTGATGAAGCAAAAAAATGTAAAAGCAGCCAGGGGCGGGGAGACATTATGCACAAAGGAACAAAGGTAAGGATGACAGCAGACTTCTTATATATAAACAATGCAAGTAAAAAAAAAAACTTGAAAGAAAAAATTAGAATTCTATGCCTAGCAAAGATATCTTTCAAAAATGAAGGTGAAATACAGATTCTTAGACATATAAAAGTTGAAAGAATTTCTCATCAGCAGACTTGCACTACAATAAATACTAAAGGAATTCCTTCAGGTAGAAGGAAAATGATGTCAGAAACCTTGATCAAATATATCAAAATATATGAAATTATTTCAAAAAAAAAATCAAAAACATTTCACAAACAAACCAAGCATGACATATTAACATAACATAAAATTTGCAGGATGTAGCTAAAGCCATTAGAAGGAAACGTATAGCACTGAATGACTATATTATAAAAAGGTCTCACATCAATGGCCTCATTTTTCCTCCTTATAAAATAAAAAAGAAGAGCAAATAAAGCCCAAAATAAGTAGAATAAAGATCAACTTGAAGAAATCAAACAGAAAAAAATTTAAAAATTTCAAAGGGTAAGATACAAAAACAAAGTTATTTTAACATTTCATTTAAAAAGAAAGCTACTCACTCAGCGCATACAGTTTTTCCTGCTGATGTATGTGCAGATACTAAAACAGACTGATTATTATCAACACACTGAATGGCTTCCCTTTGAAAAGCATCAAGAATGAATGGGTATTCCTATAAAAATAAAATATTATTATCTGCATGAAAATAAACCTAGCCACATCAGAACACACTTAAAATTAAGAGAAGCTACCCTCAAAATGGTTTTGAGAGCATTTCTTTACAGTTCTATTTATGAAATATGCCATCCACTAGCCAAAATTAGGAACATAAAAATTATCATTAATCAGCATAGAAATTACTTTTGCTGTCTTCATTTTTTCATTATCATATTGTTTGTATATACATTAACAATAGTAAAATAATCATTACCATTTATTAAGAAAATGCTTTCTGGTTAAGTACTGTGTAAGATATTCTCCATATATTATTAACCTTTGCAACAACCCCTGAAGTAGACATTATTTCCTTTCACAGACAGAAACTCTGAGGCTACGAAAAGTGAAGGCCCTCACTTAAGTTCACTTAGCTAGCAGAATTCAAACATACATATATTAGACTTTAAGAGTTCATCCTACTCTACCACACCATACTGCCTTTTTTCACTTAAAGAAAATGACTTAGAAAATTTTACATTAAAATTCTGCTAAACATCTAAGGTCTATCAGGACTTCAAAATCCATCTAATACAAGTAATACAGTTTGGGTTTCATTAGAGGTTTGTAAATTTCCTAAAGCTGTATGCAAAAACTTGTTGTATTCAAGGATTTTTCTTCCCTAGAGAAAAGATTGATAAATATCATTAGATTCTTTAAAAAGACTCAGAATCACTAATTTAAAAAAAAATTCAACACAAGATGCTTGGTTTCCAACGTGGCAGTTTACTGACTGGATTTTTTCTGTATTTGTCTCCAGGTGGCTGGAGATCCTTGGTCTGTATACACTGGAAAGTATAAAAATCTTATCTGAAAAGTTTATCTTTAAGATTTTTTTTAAAAAAAGATAGACTCACAAAACTGTATAAATTTTATCACCCAAAGCACAGACCTTTGCAGCTTTTCCAACTCGAGGTTTAAGTGGTAAATAATCTTCATCTGCAGGAAGTGCAACCTAATGACAAAAAAAAAAAAAAATCACGAAGTTACTATTTTGAACTGACACCTTCAGCACTCCATAATCAATGAAGGTGTGAAAATTAAAAGTAATGATGCCTTTAAGAACAAGACAAAAAGCTAAGGTTCAATAACTTTACTACTAAAGATTAGACAGGCCCATAAAACAAACAATACAGGTAGCTCAACCATATATACGAGACTAAATGGGCACACCAGCCCAGGGGCAAGGGCGAGAAGGCAGGAGGAGAGACAGGAAAGCTGGACAAATGAAAATGGGTAACTCAAGGTTGAAAAGGGGAGACTGCTGTCACAAAACAATATGTGTATTAATTGTTTAAAGAGAAACTAATTTGCTCTGTAAACCTTCACCTAAAGCACAATAATTACCAACTCTGCTGTGGTAAAGTAATTAAAAGCTTACATATTAACTCCCTAAAAAAACTGTATTTATTAAAGTCTAGGACCCATCTTAGTTATCTTTGTATTTCCCATACCTGACCTACTGCCAGACATTAATGAATGCTCAAAAAAGCTGAATGAACATTAAAACGGATGTCACCACATGAAAGAAAACTAGGTGGAATAAAATGATACTTCCTATTCCCTGGAACAGGAAATTTGCATTTTTTTCCAATTAAGATTTTCTCTGGAGGGCAGTTCACAATACACCTAAATTTCCAAGATTCAAAAATTAATACTGGCAATGTTCAGGTTTCTAACTGTACAGTAGGAACCTAACTAATTAGTGCATAAATAATCCCCAGGGGCAAAGTAAGGTATGCATAGAAATTAGAAATAATTCCTAGAAGCAAAATGTCAATAAACAGGTGTTAGATGTGTTTAGCTGCTTTAGAAGTACTGAGAGACTGTTAATTTGTGACTCAGTTATAATCAAGATGATGTGGGTAGTTTCAGAAATAAATGACTAGAACCTGATGATAATTAAGAAAAGTAAAACCTAGCCAATTATGAAGCCTAATGAATTATACCAGTATGAAGAATGTTAGGAGTATGACGTTCTAAATAGAGTCTACCAAGCAAAGCCCAAAAGTTAGACCTTGACAGTTTATTCAGCCCACTTTAGGACAGACGTAACTATAAGTTGTTTTTAGTAGTTAACGAACACTTCTGGGGAATAGGAATAGTATTCATCAGTCTTTCCCATAAGACTGTAGCCTCCTTTACTATGATTCCAAGAAACTTTTAAGTTTCTAATTCTGCTTCCTAGGTAGTTTGATAGTGAGAGGACTATTTAGCCATTAAATTAAGGAAGTAACATTCCTTTGTATAACCTCAACTTCTTACGAGTATGATGAAAGTGAGTCTACCTTTGAGAGCTCAACCAGGGGTACACAGACAAAATAAAATTTCTGGATCTGAAAATCTGAAGACTAGACCCCAATTCATGGTGTGACCCTCATCAAGGTACAATTAACCTATGGGCCCATACCTGCTTAGATGACCTTCCTCACATCTCTCTCTTGATACCCTCTGATATAAACAGAAAACATCAGCACTAAGCAATTAAGATTTTAGCATTTCTGGGAATTAACAGAAACAACAACAAAAATTATATTTTCACATCTATGGGAATCAAAGAGTTGTTTTGATTCTCTGAAAACAGTCTGGGTAACACCAGCATATAATGAACAGGTAGGACTACCTAAAGAGACTAAGGAGTCATAAAACAGAAAACTAGCAGAATGGCTGAGTCAAACAGACTTAGCAATTGGTCAGTGTTGATCTTTACCAGAGCAATTTCAAAGGAAGGAAGGGAGAAGAAACCTAACTGTAGTAGATTAAAAAATAATAGAAGGTTAAGAAATCTAAACAGGAATTTTTCAAGGCGTCTTTAGCAGATCACTAAACAGTAACTCTAAGAAGGCAAGGACCATGTCTGTTTTGTTGAACTCTGTACTCAGTGCATAATAAAATGTATTTGGCACTCAAAACCTGTCCGATGAATGACTACAATGCAGAAGGAGAAAAACAACAGTGTCTGAACAGCAACCTAGAACAAAAGTTTTTGCATATCTACATGCTGATAGGAAAGGGCAAACAGAGAAAAAGAGACTCTTGAAACAGGCAAGGGAAAATGGAATGATTGAAGTCTTCCTGGAGGCCGGATAAGATACAAAAGCAGGGGCAGAGCAACAAAAACCTGAAAAGACAAATGATTCAATTATATACGGCAATCTGGGAGCCCTGAAGATCAAAGGCAGAGCTGAGGAACCGGACTGAGCGGCAGGGGGAGGGAGACACGTTTCGGAAGCAAGGAGTTGCCAGACATGACCCAGTGAGAGCTTGAGCCCTTCAGGCCTTATCACTCTGGGATGAGCAGTGAGGCAGGCAAGCACCTGTGCTCGGGAGGCACGTTTTCGGCACTGGGAGAGACCCAGCCACTGAGAGTCTACACGGCCACCCAGAACCAGTGAGAAGCAGCCCTTGAAAATCGGCGAAACATAAGTACTTTCAAACCGCCTACCACGCAGATCAAAAACACCCCCCTTAGGGAAAAATCTCTCTCCCATTTACCTCCCTGCTCCCTACTCCCTGCTCTGCACTGGGCCCTGGACCGGCTTCAGCAATTGCCAAGTCCCTTGGGCCAGAAGTAGGATCCGTCCAACACCCTGAGCCATGCTCCCTGTCTTGGAGAGTGAACAAATTAACAAACGAGAAAAAATAAACTGCCAGCTCCCCTAAGTGAGGAACTCAGGGTAGGCACAGCTCCTTTGCCTAGGCACAGACATAAGGGATACACGGACTTTAAGTGCCTTTCCCCCTACATAGACTTGTGCAGGGCCATCTCAACAGTGAAGGCCCTCCTTACCGCAGTACAACAGGATATATACCAGAACCCTAACTTCAACTGTTTCAGCTGTGAAGTGGCAGGTTCTCGACATCTGACACTGCTCTGCCCATTAAGCAGGGTCTTCACCTATCCACATCAGGGGCGTGAGGACTGGTGGCTCCACCCACACCACCTAGCTACCTACAATAGGGGCCCATGAATATGAGGTACCCCCCAGTCCTTACAGCCAACAGCATTAGGTGCTCACAGTCCAGCTGGAAAACCCACCGACCTATGCGCTATAGGGAACAGGGACACGCCTTCCTCCTGGACACTTGGAGGCAGCTGTCAGCCCCTTGCCTTGCTCAGACTGTGTCTCCCTGCTGCAGCCAGAGATGCCTGTGCCTACAGCAATCGACCATGCCTGTCTAGGACTGTGAGAGCCCACGCCACACACTTGGTGGCTATCTACCTGTGCACCTGAGCTGAGTGGGTGGACTCCTGAGCTCACATACCTAGTAACAGATTTAACCAGGACATCAGAGCTTCAAAAGTGCCAATAATCAAACTAGATCATACAAGCAGCCTATTTGGAAATATCAAAACAAAACGAGAAGGCAGGACACAGCAAGCAAACATAAAATAAATAACTTCTTGATGGCTCGGAGACAACAGTCAATATCAAATCACATAAAGAGGCAATCCATGATAGTTTTAGCAAGCTCCGGAAATAAAGAATCTAGAAATTTTCCAGAGGAGGAAAATTTCTTGGAATTACTGGAGGCAGAATACAAAACATTAATATACAGAACTCTTCAAGAAATTAGGAAGGAAATTAAGCAAAATGCAGAACATGCAATAAAGGAAATTAAAAAGATTAGAGAAGAGCATAATGACAAACTGAACAGGCTGCAAGAATCCATAGAGAGACAGCAATCAGAAATCCGGAAGATTAATGATAAATTTTCAGAATTAGACAACTCAACGGAAAGTCATAGGAGCAGAATTGAGGCAACGGAAGTCAGAATTAGTGACACTGAAGATAAAGCACTTGACATCAACTTATTTCAGGAAAAATCAGATAAAAGGATTAAAAAAATGAAGAAACCCTAAAAATTACATGGGACTCTATCAAGAAGAATAACCTACGAGTGATTGGAATATCAGAACAGTGTGAATAACAGAAAATTCAGAGAGAACTGTTGAAGATTTGTTGGTAGAAAACTTCCCGCGTATCGTGAAAGATGACAAGGTATCTATCCAAGATGATCATAGAACCCCACATAAGGTAGATCCCAAAAGACAGTCACCAAGACATATTATAATTAAACTTGCCAAAACCAAAGATAAAGAGAACTTTAAGAGCGGGTAGAGATAAATGAAAAGTCATCTACAAAGGAAAGTCAATAAGAATAAGCTCGGACTACTCAACAGAAACCATGCAGGCAAGAAGGCAATGGGATGACATATATAAAGCCTTGAAGGAAAAAAATTGCCAACCAAGAATTATATATCCAGCAAAACTCTCTCACAAATATGATGGTGAAAT